GCGAGTCTAGGAATCGGTCCGCGAGGGCGGAGCCGAGGAAGCCGGCACTTCTTCCTTCTTTCCCCTCCCTCCCCAGCCTTCCCCGCGAGCGGACGCGGCAGCGCCTCTGTCTCGCTTTTTCTTATTTTTTCCCCCCTTTCCCCTTTCTTTTTTTTTTTTTTTTTTTTTTTTTCCCCCCTCCCCCCTTTCACCATTTCCTCTCGGAGGCGCTTTCCCCGGGCAGGGACAGAGCCGGTCTCACCCCCCCACGCCTCTCCCCGGCCCCTGCCGCCCTATGGCGAGAGGGAGCCCCCTCCCCACCCGGGCTCGAGCGGCGGCGGCCTCAGGCCGGGGTCATCATGGAACTAATTCGCTGACCGACCGCGCCCCTCGACCCGCTTCCCCCTCTTCTCCCTCCTCAATGGGCCCCGTAGTCCTGCGCGCACCGCCGCCGCGCGCGGATGAGAATGAGGTGGTAACGGGCTCCCGGATGACCTCGCGTCACCACTGTGAGGCCTACAGCTCAGCCGGGGAGGAGGAGGAGGAGGAAGAGGAGGAGAAGTAGCTACATCAAGCTGGCTAGCAGGCAGATCCAAAGGATATCATGAAGTTTCCAGGGCCTTTGGAAAACCAGAGATTGTCTTTCCTGTTGGAAAAGGCAATCACTAGGGAAGCGCAGATGTGGAAAGTGAATGTGCGAAAAATGCCTTCAAATCAGAATATTTCTCCATCCCAGAGAGATGAAGTAATTCAATGGCTGGCCAAACTCAAGTACCAATTCAACCTTTACCCAGAAACATTTGCTCTGGCTGGCAGTCTTTTGGACAGGTTTTTAGCTACCGTAAAGGCTCATCCGATATACTTGAGTTGTATTGCAATCAGCTGTTTTTTCCTAGCTGCCAAGACTGTTGAGGAAGATGAGAGAATTCCAGTACTAAAGGTATTGGCAAGAGACAGTTTCTGTGGATGTTCCTCATCTGAAATTTTGATAATGGAGAGAATTATTCTGGATAAGTTGAATTGGGATCTTCACACAGCCACACCATTGGATTGTCTTCATATTTTCCATGCTATTGCGGTGTCAACTAGGCCTCAGTTACTTTTCAGTTTGCCCAAATTGAGCCCATCTCAACATTTGGCAGTCCTTACCAAGCAACTACTTCACTGTATGGCCTGCAACCAACTTCTGCAATTCAGAGGATCCATGCTTGCTCTGGCCATGGTTAGTCTGGAAATGGAGAAACTTATTCCTGATTGGCTTTCTCTTACAATTGAACTGCTTCGGAAAGCACAGATGGATAGCTCCCAGTTGATCCACTGTCAGGAGCTTGTGGCACATCACCTTTCTACTCTGTAGTCTTCCCTGCCTCTAAATTCCGTTTATGTCTACCGTCCCCTCAAGCACACCCTGGTGACCTGTGACAAAGGAGTGTTCAGATTACATCCCTCCTCTGTCCCAGGCCCAGACTTCTCCAAGGACAACAGCAAGCCAGAAGTGCCAGTCAGAGGTACAGCAGCCTTTTACCATCATCTCCCAGCTGCCAGTGGGTGCAAGCAGACCTCTGCTAAACGCAAAGTAGAGGAAATGGAAGGGGATGACTTCCATGATGGAATCAAACGGCTCTATAATGAAGATAATGTCTCAGAAAATGTGGGTTCTGTGTGTGGCACTGACTTATCAAGACAAGAGGGACATGCTTCCCCTTGTCCACCTTTGCAGCCTGTTTCTGTCATGTAGTTTCAACAAGTGTTACCTTTGAGTGTAAACTAAGGTAGACTACTCTGGGAATGAGAACATGCAAAATCAGGAAAGGCTGTAGAAGGATATATACCTTAACAGGCTGATTTGGAGTGAGCCAGGAAAAAAAAAAACTACTCTCATTATTTGTATGGCTAATTATAATTCAGTGTTATTTAAACACATAAGGACCAAAAAAAAAAAAAAAATCCAAAAGATCCAAACTTTTTTAAACTTAAAAAATCTCTTTGTAGTATGCCAGTTGCACTTTTTTTCTGCCATAATGTAACGTAGCTTGCCCCATCAAAAATTCAGTTAAAATTCATAGCCAGCAAACCTGTTCCCCCTCAGCATCCTGATTTAATTTTCCTGTTGCTTTTGCTTGCTTCTCCATTTAAGTTACTGAACTTTATGCATGCTGATCTGTATTGATTCTCACTGAATAGGAAACCCCAAAATTATTTTTTAGCAGTCGAACAAATTATTTCAGTGTGACAGCCATGATGCAAGTTCCAATTAGTATGAAAGTACTTTGGAATTGTCCCATATTAATCAGAGACAGCAACAGAAAAAGTTCTCATATTACCAGGTTGATTTTGTGTCTCATTTCAAATTTTAATTTAAAATTATGGTTTTCATTTTTGTTTACCTTAAAGTGATGCTTAAAAGTGGTATGTAATTAGGACACTTAGATTTGTTGAAAGCATTTTTGACATATATATCTATAAAAGAATTTGTGATAAAGTTAATATATCCAGGTGCTCACCAAAGAAACATGTATGTAACAACTGAAATTAGATTTTTCTAACTGATAGTTTTCACTCATTTATAATCAGTAGGAGAGACTGTCTAGATGTTGGGGCAGCTCTGTGATTTGAGTCTGTAACATGTTATAACTGAATTTAGTACCCTAGTTTTGTTAAGCTATTAGGATTTTCTAATAGAACTTACTCCCCTGCTGCCTCCCCAGCCTACATATAATTCTCTTAATGACTTCTGGATCCTGAGCTCCCTTTGCAGTCTGAAAAAGGTATTGCAGTCAGAACCGTGTACTGATGATAAAAGCCTCTGGTAGCAATAAAAAGTTGTCCTAAAAAAAAAAAAAAAAAGAAAGAAAACCCTAAGGAATCCGGTAAAAAAACAACCTGCTAGGACCAATAAATGAGTTCAGCATGGTTCCAGTATATAAGATCAATATTGGAAAAAAATCAGTTTTCTTTCTATATACTGTTGATGAACAATCTAAAAATGGAATTAAGAAAATTATTCTATTTGCAATAGCATCAAGAACAAAATATTAGGAATACATTTAACAAAGGAAGCGTAATACTTATTCTGTAAATACTATAAAACATTGTCAAAAGAAGTAAAAGATTTAGCTGGGCACAGTGGCTCATGCCTGTAATCCCAGCACTTTGGGAGGCTGAGGTGGGCGGATCACTTGAGGCCAGGAGTTCGAGGGTGCAGTGAGCCAAGATTGCTCCACTGCATTTCAGTCTTTATGATAGAGTAAGACCCTTTCTTTAAAAAAAAAAAAGCCTATTGTATGTTTTCCTCCTAAGATCAGGAATACCACAATGATATCTACCCTTATCACCTCTATTCAACATTGTCCTGGAAGCTCCATCGATGGCAATTGGGCAAGACAATGAAATAAAATGTATTCAGATTGGAAAGGAAGAACTAAAA